AACATTAGGCGGCCAACTCCCATTGGCGCTAACAGTCCTCTGTCCTTCATAAAAATGTGTTCTTTTGTTACTAAAATTAACTAGCGGAAGGACTGGTTCTCTTTCCTGCGATTGCAGCTGGTATGCAGATTGTTAATGTTGTTATGAAGAGGGAACAGACAGTTCGTGGGTTGTCATTTATGTTGTGTCATGTAGTGGCATCATTCGAAATGCGTCTGTGGGGAGGGACATTCAGTTTTAATCTTTAAAGCTCAGAATAGCCTTGCTTGCTATGTTGAAATTGTTTTTTTCCTGCTCCCAGGAGCATGTTCCACTTGTGTCTGACGATGCTGTGACAGTACTTAGCTGTCAGTCAAGCACTGTGTCACTTCTTGCTGGACGCTGAATACAGGCATTATAAAAATCCACAATAAATTATAGAGAGTAGAACAAGCAGGAAGACCAATGTCAGCAATGGCTCCCAGCGCTTTCATTTTACTCTCTTTAGTAGTCCAGGGCAAAATGTTGCTTTAGGAACGAGGGTTGTGGCGCTGTGGAGAGGAGGCTGAGAGAGGCTGGGGAGTATTTAACCTCTTGGGGTTTGTGAACACTCGTGTGCGAAAGCTCCTCCGCATGCCCAGATTACATCAGTCTCAATTGATGCACAGCAGTGCGTTTACTTAAACTGAAACACCTCCCAGTGGATTTTGCATCATTTAACCAAGTTCCCCTTGAGCAGGCTGGGTGTCGTTGAGTGCTACATACACCTAAAGCCACTCAGTCCAGCAGTTCTGTGTGGGAGCCTCAGCCTGATGGAGGATGAGGTTCATGGTCAGGCAGCTGGAGCTGGGGAATCTAGCAGGGGGTTTGCCTCCTGTCTTGTGCTGCTTTCTGTGCCTAGGTCCCAAATGGACACTTTTTCGCCTGCCTTCCCCATTATGGAAAAGGGTTTGGCAGTGTGTTAAGCGCTCTGCCGGTCTGTCCTGCATTGCTATTGTTTGCCAGCCAGTCAGACATCCTGTTTTCCAGTGAATGTCACTTCAGGGATGTATTAAAATTGCAAGAACTGTCTGTCTGCTACCACTTCCTGTGCTGCACCCCCTCCTCTCCCTCCTGATCTGTCTCTGTCCTGTTCTTTGCTCCTGTTTGGAGCCTAGAACAGCACTTTTCCCATACGGGGTTTTCTGGGCCAGTCTACCATTTAGCATCCTTGGAACACTTTGCTCTTTTTAACTCCAAACAACAGGAGAAGATGTGGTTGGAAAACTGACAAATCCTTCTAGTTAGGCTGCAGAACTTAGCCCAAATCTACTTGTTGCAAACACTTGTGGATTCTCTCTTTTTCATTCTCAGTGATGTGTTTCTGATTGCCCAGCTTTGCACTGTAGCAGCAGTTAATACATTCATTCCCGTACAAATACAGCACACCCCATTTTGCTGGGAATACGATAAGCCTCTAAATAAAAGAAGAAACCTACCTTACAATAATTTTTTTTTTTTCTTTTTTTTTAAGGTTTGAATGGCTTGGGCAGTCAGTTAAATAGATGTGAACTGATGACTTCCTGTAGCGGTTGAAGAGGTCTGTTCCTTTAGTCAGAACTCACCGTAGAAAAGACGAAGCACAGATAATAACTTGGGCAGGCAGCCCACTGACTGCCCAGCTGATACAGCGCAGTCAGGTTCCTGCAGCAATTTCAGTGTCGTGTGATAGGAAGCCAAGTATTTTCAGCTTGAGGCTTTTCTTTTGGGGTGCTGGAAAGCATTGAGAACATACAGGAGGTACCAAAGGACTGGTTCCACTGTTAGTTTCTGTCCTCTAACCAAATTCAGTTTGCTTCAAGTCAGTAAAGCCTTCCACCAGATGAAGCGGGAAGAGTACCACTTGCAGTTGCAGGAAACTTGAGGCTTATTTAACTCCTCTGAGGAGGTTTTTCTTGCCTCCTAGTGTTGAGGTGATTGAAATGATGCAATGGTTATTTTTCAGGCTGGATCCTTATAGACCGTTGTGGGAAGCACTTTGGAACAATTTTAAACTATCTCCGAGATGACACAATTGCACTTCCAAAACACAGACAGGAGATCAAAGAGCTGATGGCAGAAGCCAAATACTATCTCATTCAGGGCTTAGTGGACATGTGCCAAGCAGCCCTGCAGGTAAGAAACAGAAGTAGCCTGTAAAGGTTTTCATGAGTGTTTTGCTTATAAAATTTACTTAAGACAGCTTGAGAGAGTGTTTCATGGCCTTAGAGAAGGCATGAAATCTTAGATGTGAAAGACAGCCTGGAAAGAAAATGAGGCAGCAGTCAGGGAAGCTCTAAGGTCCTATCCAGCATGTTTATCAAAGCCATAGCTGTCCTTGCTCCGTATGCACACCTGAGAGTCTGCCATGCTCTGAATAAGAGATGAAATTTAGTTTATGGTCCCCCCGGAAATGTTTTCAGCCACATGTGCTGTCGTGGCACAGCTGTCCCAGCCAGGGGTGCCTGTGCTCTGAAGGCATTTAGTGCAGTTAGTGAGGTGGTTGCATTACCGAGGGAGCAATTTCTTTGTAAGAACAGAAAGATTGACACTAGTTAGATTAGAGTAAGTTTGTCCCTTGTTTAGATTATATGAATCTAGACTGTGCGAGATGTAGATTTGAGTTCCTGTCATTTCGGACGTGTTCGGTATGATGATGGGTAAATAATTTCCCTTTGTGCTTCCATTCAGTTGTCCAGCTGTCCCCTCAGAGTGGGGACAGTGGCACTTTTCTACTTCACAGGTATGCCAGGAGGATGAATGAAGTAGGAACTGCATTCACAATTTGTCATTTAAATAGAAGGACTGGTTCTTTTCTGTTTCTATATTTTAAATTTTATTTAGGAAATAGAGAATGAGTTCCTCTTGTGTGAAATGAAATAAAAGACAGAAATTTAAAGGAAACTGATTGAATAAACATGATTATTTTGAGCATGTGTTTTAAAAGAGCTCATGGCATTCGTCTAAATTTCCCCCAAGTTATCTCACTTCTAATTAGATAATATTTATAGGCAGAATGGGTTTGAACCTTTGAAAGCATGGTAATTTTTTTTTCCAAGTTTAAATCTTAACGGAGAAGACGACTCATATGGTAAGCACTGAGTACTTTAAGGACTTTTCTTTGTGTCAGTTTACTACTATCTTTGCAAATATGTAAGGCCTTAGGAGCTTTATTTGCTTTCGTAGTCCCTATGAGTTCAGCTAATTGAAATAGATCTAACTTCTTATGAGTGTTGAGATGGTGAAATGAATGTTTCTTGCAGAACAAAACTTAGTAATTAATAAATACCTCACATACTAGGGTCAGTATACTTCTATGCGCTGAAAGAAATGCAAAGCCACCCTGATGCTTTTCTTTCTGGTTTGGTATTTAAGACCTTTCTTCTAAAAACAAAATGTTCTAAGCCTTTCCTATTAGCTATTGAGCTTTCCTTAATTTGCTACATGAGGAATCTGGAGTCACCAACTGTGCTACACACACTTGGTTGTTGCTTTTGTATCACAAGGGGCTGAAGTCCGTTTGGTGACATGCTGTTTGAAAGCATGGTAAAGTTCACAGTGGCTGATATTGTTATAGACTGCAGCGTTTTGCATTGATCAAAACTAGTGCAAACTCGTAGTATCCTTTCCTTCAAAAAAAGGTAGAATAATAAACCCACTTAAAGGATAGAATAATAAACCCACTTAAACCAAATACAACTTGAGCTCAGAGTCCTTGCTATATAGCTAAGGCAGACATCCACCTGCATCCCAATATTTCAATTACTGCTGCCTTCTGGGGACAAGAAATCTCTGTTGTATTTCTGGGTTGCAGATCAAGGTAACGCTGGGTGGTTACTATAGCAACACAGAGCTTTTCCTTTGCATCACAAGATTTGGGAACATGGCTGGAGGGGTTGGAGAAGACAGCAGCAGCATATGTTTGCTTGAGCATTTATCTCTCTTGAGTTTATTTCCTCTCTCTCTTCTTTCTTTAAAACAGGACAAGAAAGACTTGTATGAACCTGTCTGTAGTATCCCTATTATCACATCTCCAAAAGAAGAGGAGAGACTGATAGAATCATCAATGAAAGTAACTGCTTTTCCACTACTCTCCACTGAGAAACTGAATTTTTGCTACATGTATTCAAACACAGAACTTACCTCTTCTGCTGTTTTTTTTTCTCCCAATAGCCCGTTGTTAAGCTGCTTTATAATAGAAGCAACAACAAATACTCCTACACCAGGTACGTCAGTTTTTTCCCCACTGTAATGGGAAAGTTTCCCTTTGACTATGGGATTTTTTTGGTTGGTGGGTTTGGGTTTTTCTTTGTAATTACAACAGTGCTCTTCTATGGATCTGAGTGCAGTTATTTTTGACTGATGTGAATCTAAATGGGGAGAGAACACAACAAACTGTATCTGGTGGAGTCTAGTGTAGAGTTCAGTTGTGTGAGAAAGGTGAACAGGAACAAGGGACAAGAGGTAAGAACGATGAGGCTATTAATATTGTCTGAGAGTAGATTTACCCCGGGTAATGCAACACGACCTGGTAACCAGAGTCTCACTGTAAATGCAAAGCTAATGCTGCCATGATCCCTAGCTCATCAGCTTATCTGTACTTCTGTCTGCATATACCTCTGCCAGCACTCTTTTACTCTGCCCTGCAGACATTCTTGACGTTCCTGTGCCTCTAAATGAATAAATTATTTGCTTACAAAGGAAAGTATCTGTTCTGCTCAGGACCAACTCAGATAGGGCCCAGGGCAAGAATTTTCTGGCTTTCCTCCTGTATAACATAACATTATTTATTTAGTTTTATTCTGTAACTATCATGATACCTTTGTTATGATGCTATCAGAATGGCTTTGGATTCTCCCAAACCAGTCATTGAAGCGATGTGAGTAATCCTTTATGCTGTGCAGGATCCTCATTTTCGGCCTTTTAAGTCTGAGATGCAATCTTGGAAGCTTTTTTCTCTAGACAAACTGATTGTCTACCTGTCAGAGAGATAGATTCTAACAATGATGATATTTCAGGTAGTCAGGAGATACTACCTGCAGGATTGCTGAAGAGCAGCCTGTTTTTCCGCAGACTGCATTCTGTATCTGCCAGTGGTACTGCGCTCTTCCTGGTGTTACCCTTTAGCTTACAGAAGTGATGCTAAAGCAAGCACTGAATAGCGTATTAGTCACCACGGGGCTGGAAATGTGAACGTACTAGTCATGAGAGCAACAGAATCCCAGATACCAGGAGGTGCTGGTATCTCAGCTAGCTGTAGGTTTCTAATTATTCCTTGCGCATGAATGTGCATGCTTTGATGGTGTTTAAATGAGGCATCTATATTTAAAATTCCACACTGGCTGCTAGCAAGCAAAGATTTTTTTTTTTCCATCTATTCTACCTAATCGACAGTACAAAAGGAGCTTTCTCAGTTATGTTGTCAGTGTGGTCTAATAATGAAGAGTTCTACATTCTTTTCCCAGCTCTGCCACTTGATAGAGCCTGGGACTTGTCACTGGCTGAATCCCAGATTGCTTTATCAAATGTTTCTTGCAAGCTGAAGATTTTCTCTGGTTGCACATCGTGCTTTTTTGATTTAGATCTGAACAGAAACACTTCCAGACTAAGTATTCTATGTAAAGCCCGATTGGTGGTTCTTATTAGCAGTGTCTGGATTCACAAGGATTTCATGGCCTTCCCAAGCCACCTGCAAAAGTTAAGATACTGTGCACAAAAGTGCGATGTCATGTCTCTGGGTAGATTCTTGGCAGCAAGGAATGAACCTTGAGCTTCTGCATCCAAAGAGTAAGGCGTTTTACTGTTAAAGCTAGAAAGGTTGGCTTTGGTGTCTAGGCATTAATATATTCACTCATTTCCACATATTCACATGTAATTTCCCAACCACCTATAAAAGAGACAAAGGGGCACAAAGTACTTCTTTTCGATACAGCTGCATTCAAGCTAATATCAGAGGAGTAAGGCTTTTGGGTTTATGGGGTTTTTTTTCTTAATCGAATTGGACCCTGATTGGCCATGATGTTGTTATTTAAGTAAAATATTTAAATTTTAAGAATAGCTTTCTGATAGCGTTACTTGATTTTAAAGCTATGATACAATGCGTATATTTTTTTATCTACAACACGTAGATCTTGCTTTGAAAAGTAATTAAGATTCTACATTGCGTTGGCCGTCAATAAAAGTTAGTTCTCTAAATAACATATTCAACCTAGATATTTGTATATGGCATCACTAGTGTTTGTTAAGTGCAGAACATCTTGCTTTTAGCTGGACTTCTGACATGCGTTGACTCTCTGGACTTGTGCTGTTACTAAGCTACAGAGAACCACAGACAGCCTGTCATTTAGTCGTCTTGAGCGTCAGTCAGGATAGTTGTCGATAGTTGATGTAATGATTTGGGAAATGGTGCTGTCGTCGTTAATTATTTAACTTGACCTCTACAGGCTGGTGAGTTTGCTTGTGGGGACCAGAGCATCTTATTTGTATCTGAAATTGGCTATTACCCCGTCTTTTCTTGGCAGCATATGGCAATGAGTCACTACTTATTTGTATTCTGCAGTTAGATCAATGCTTACAACCATGGTGGAGTAGGCATATAAATTCTGTAGAGATGGCCGGTTGAAAAACCACTAAAACCTTCTTCCTTCTTTTGTTGCTGTGTTTCAGTAACTCAGATGACAACTTACTGAAGAACATAGAACTGTTCGACAAACTCTCTCTCCGATTCAACGGCAGAGTTCTTTTCATTAAGGATGTTATAGGGGATGAAATCTGCTGCTGGTCTTTCTATGGACAGGGTCGGAAACTTGCTGAAGTCTGTTGCACCTCTATAGTGTATGCGACAGAGAAGAAGCAAACCAAGGTAATGGAGTTTCACCCACCCGTCAGAGTTTAAAAAAAAATCAGGTTGATGATACATTGCAGAAAGATACAGATTTTGTGTAACTTCAGCCAAATTGCTAGGGACAAGCAATACCACTTACTGGGAAAGCTTTGAGACCAACTCTGCTGAGTATTGACTGGAATTGATGGCCAGTGACATCAAAATTAGTAGGGTGGATCGCTGCCTGGGCAGCTGCAGGATGAGCTGGTGTCTTGGTAGGAGGTGCTGCATTCTAGGTAGAATTCGGAGAAGACTAAATACAGTTGCAGCTTTGAAGAAAGCGAGACTGAGAATTGTAACTCTGAAAGCACGTGCATTTTAGTACTAGTCTCTTAAAGGTGGTGGACTTCGTGTCCCTAAAGCATGTAAATGCCTTTAAATTCTTCCCTAATTAAATTAAGTGAAGATGTAATTCTGCTCCTAATTAGACCTACATAAATTTACTTCATTGCTGTTTGTACTGTGTTTCACTTGCACTGATGTAATAATTTTATGTAATTGGACTCAATGGTTGGGTTTGGGAGTACAAATTTCTCCACAGTGTTGGAAAGTATATGCCAAAAAGGAGAAGACTGAAACTGATCTGTCCCAACCTGAATAACTGAAATGAAGGCGATTCAATTAATGAAATAGAAACTTGAGCTCAAACACTGTTTAGAAACATTATATTTTTATGATCATTATGCTTTTATGGACAAAACTATAGAATATCTTAAAAAAAAAAAGTCCAGCATGACTACAGATTCAAAATAATCAACCTGTCTTGATTTCCCCTATCCTGATTTTCTGCTTTGCTCATCTTTCTCATTTAGAATTGTTTTCCTCTCTGTATAGTGCATGTCCTTTTTATGGCTCACGTATCTTTTCGCTTACGGGCATGTGTGCCAGACACGTTATCCTGTATAGATCAGGAAAAGGACATGTGCTGTCTTTTGTAGGTTGAATTCCCTGAGGCACGGATTTACGAGGAAACACTAAATGTCTTACTGTATGAAACACCACGGGTTCCTGATAACTCTCTGCTGGAAGCAACAAGCAGGAGCCGAAGCCAAGCGTCTCACAGTGAGGACGATGAGGGTTTTGAACTTCGTGACCGAGTGCGCCGAATCCACGTGAAGAGATACAGCACCTATGATGACCGTCAGCTTGGGCACTAGTGTCTCAGTTGAGGAGAACGGGTTTGGTGTCAAGGCTTGTATCGATGTTCTTTGAGGGAGATCAAGAAGTAGGGAGGGATGAATTGGACTTTGTGGATTGATCTTCATTTTGGCTTCTTGGCTCCCTAGAGAAGCAAATGGGCATTTGTGTGCGCAAAGCAACACTAACGGCCAGGGGCTTTGAGAACTGAGATGTTGATTTTGCACCATGTGCTTTAAAGGCAGACTGGCCCCCTTTTCGTGCCACGTGAGGAATGGAATTTGGAACACTGATTCTGACAGCTTGTGGTTGCTCTTTCGTGTCTAATGACTTGCCAGATTTCTTACTTCCTGGGAGAAGTACTGCCTTTCCTGAATGAGATGGCATGATGTGGAAAATCTTTTTCAAGATGCCTGCCCTTTTAGGGTTTTGTATAATGGAACTTCCAGGTTTTAAATCAAGATACTGAAGAGGGGGTGGAGAGAACTTGAACATGACTACTCTTTGCAAACACTGCATCTGATAACCCCCAAAAGAAGTGGTTAGCTAGCCCATAGTCAGACGCACTCCAAGTGGGGTTTCTCCCACCTCTTTCCCCCAGTACATGTGCCGAGGTTGGTGTTCCCAGACAGCTGTCTTTAAAACTCATTAATTGTAAGGTAAGCTCTTCTGAGGAGTTGAGAGTCAAGTCATCAAAAAACCTCCCCCTGTGAAAAATGAGAAAAAATTGAAAATTTACATATATATGTAATGACTTGGGAGATGTAGAAATGGATAAAATGAAGGAAGAAATTTCTTCAAGTAAGAAAACGTCAGGAATAGATTGTGGCAGACTTGCCATTGTTTAGGGTTGTGATAGTGTAATCCTGTTAATATAAACGGTGGCAATCCAGGGAATTACTTATACATTAGTATCCTCCTGGGCCCCAAAAGTGCTATTTGATGTTAAACTTCTCAAGGAAGCAGAGGAAAAATTGCAGTGACTGGGGAAATGCAGGCTCAACAACATTTTATAATGCTAGATAGTGTTCACATACTGACGGGTGAATTCAGGGTTTGTGTTCTGAATCCCTTCTAGAGCATAGAAACTGAAGTGGAAAGAGAAGAATAGTCATAAAAATCTTGTTCTAGCGTGAAACTGCAAGAGGCTTTGGACACAGGAGAGAGGTCGCTTATGCTGAATTTTAAACTGAAATAATCCCTTTTATTCTGTGTGCTTGGTTGGGTGCTAATTGCAAAGGGCCTTTCAGAAGGTTGGAGTCAAGGCTGCTCTGCAAATCAGGTCTATGGAAACAGTTTCAAGTTTAGTGTGGAAGTTGTTACCATATTTTTAAATGTTTGCTTGTATGTTTCAGCTGTAGGTTGCAGATTCTAATTTTACCACTGTCATAAGGGGTTGTTATTACTTGACGGCTGTTCATTGGCAGCTGTGGATACGTGACGGTGGTGGAGCGTGCTCCACAAATGCTCCTAAGTTCCCACAGTGTACGTGAACGTGGAAGCTTCAGATTCCATGATGGTTAGTCTTGAACGATTTGACCAGTGCCAAATCTACCTACAAGTTTTAAAGCAAATTACTGCAAGAGCCTGACAAGAAAATAGTCCCAAATTAATACGGTGAAGTCATAAGTAGAATTGAGATGGTAGATGTTTTGGTAGTAATAGAAACAGTGGAGGGAACAAAAAAAAATATTTCCACTCAATTAGGCTTTTGAAAATGAAATTGTTGAGGTTTGGTAAGAAAACACTAATGGCTGCAAACTTCCAGGATTTTATTACCTAGCCAGGCCCCTACACGTGGCAGGCATTCATTTAATTCTCCTCACATTCAGGAAGTAGCGTTGCCACAGTAATGCACCTGCCTTTTTGTGAAAGGGCCCTTTAAAACTCTAATAACCTCTTTTCTCTTTATATTGCTTTTGTAAGTTGTTGTTTTCCAGCTGGTTTCTCTATTGTGCCAGTGAAAATACAGCTGCTGAGATTAGTTTTGACAAAGACTTTTGTGGTTTTTTCTGTTTAATTCTGCTAGAGTGTGATGTGGATTTTTTTAATTTCTTTCCCCTCCAGTGATACTGTTTAAATTACACTACGGTGGGTGCTTTGAAGCTACCGGCAGAGCCTGTAGTGATAGGGTCTTTGTGGTGTACTTAATAGCTTCGATTTATTCTCTTGTACTTTTTTTCATCTTGTAACAAATAAGACTGCCATTTAAAATTCATGTGTGGCACTTCTGTTCCTTGGCAAATGATTTACTTTTTTTTTTCTTGTTACTATCATAGTGAATGTTAACAGATTAAGTAAGTGATGCTGGTAGCCTTGCAAAACTGTGCTTAAAAAAAGTTACAAGCAGAAAAATGTCATATTTGCATTTATTTTCTTTGGAGAGCACAGGTATGGGAAGGAGCGTGTGGAAGAGAATGAGTGTGAGAGCTGTGTGCTAGTCCAGAGGCTTTTATTCCATGGTTGGAGTCTGTACTCCCAGGATTCATTAATGAAATGGATTCAAATTGTGAATTATTACTCTTCTCTGCTGGCTTTAAATATCACAAATTATGATTCCTATTAAGACAATATGGATTTCTAATTATATGCATTTGTCTGCAAGTTAAGAGACTTGTAATGGCTTCCTACCTAGACCATCGCCAACAGATGTGTTCACGCATGTGCCTGTGACTTTCTAGTGGCCTTTAGGAGGAAGAAATGCCTTTTTGCCTCAATGTATGAATTCTGACTACTTCAGCCAGCACTCTTTAGCTGCTGGAGCTCTTTTTGAAACCTTACTGTCCTCTTCACTCCTAAATTTAAGCAAACTTCTGCGCATTCAAATCTTGTATTAGCAGACTGAGAGAATGAACGGAAAACATTAACTGACATCTCTGCACGAGTACTGTAATAAAGGGCTGCATGTTTCTGTAACGGGGTCCTAACACCGCAAAGCAGCCTCAGTCTTTGTACAGAGAAGGAGACTTGGTGCCTGGAGTGAATGTCTGATGTTAAACAGCTTAGCAGTATCGGTGTTAATGAGGCAATAATGCCAAAAGAGAGAGCTCTGCAGGGCAGCAGCCTCCAACTGCTTGATAAATGCCAAGACAAAACTAAATGTTTAACCTGCACCTTGACATTTAGTTTTTGGAACAGGAGACATTTATCCCATCATAATGTTCCATTCCACTGACTTTTTATCTCTTGCACTTCTTGGTTAAAGTATAAAATAACTGACTGAGACCAGGAGGGCATTGGAGGGACCGATACTATGGTGTTATTAGAAAGCTGCATCCTGCTTGGAACAGGCAATGCTTGTTTTGGTTAGATTTTTTTTTTCTCAAGGTTTTTTAATTTTCAGACACAATTCACTCTGAGAGATGAAGTATACCTTAACTGAATGTGACTGGCCCAGCAGTCCCTACCTTACACGATTAGATTATATTGTCTGACAATCCTTGGCACTGAATCTTTACAGACAACTTTCACACCATCCATTCTGTTAGGAGAGCTGAGGTTTTAGTAAGAGATGAGTGGGCATGAGTCCTGTTTCCAGCTGTGCCACCAACTCGGTGACATACAGCAACTCAGTTTTTCTGTATGCACATAATTATTCCTCATCTGGAATAAAGTGGTGGTAAGACCCTCCCCTACCTCAGAGGGATGTTGAAGCATAATTTGTTTAATGATAGTAAAGGACTTTGGATTTCTATAATATTTTGTATCCAGAGGATAGCAAATATGATTGCTGATCTTGTTTAAACTGACATTCTGTGATCAAGCTGCTTTCTTATTGCATCAGGCTTTGTTTTATTTTCATGTCTAACTTTTAACGGTCAGCCTTATGCATAAAATACTTAGTTAATGCAGTAACCATATTAGCTGTTGATTAAAGCGTTTTCTCTTTCTTTTATCAGTGCATTAAATGGAAATGGAACACTAATTTTTAATAAAGTGTTTTATTTTGTCTTCTGTGACTTTTCTCCAGCATCATAACTTTCTTTTGTCCAGTTGGTTTGTGCACTTTTGTTCTGCATTGTAGTTGTGATCCTTGCCAAGTATTTAGGATTTCTGAACCACGGAACTACTGCATCGGCAAATGGGTTTTGTATTACATGGAGCTGCTGCTACCTTTCACCCATGCATGCAAGTTCAGTCTGTTTGTAGAAGGTCTCAGTGTACTTACAGGTGCACTGCAGACAACTGGTTTTTATTTTCTCTGGGTTTTTCCTTTAATTGTAGAACAACTCATTGGCTACACTGGTTTTTTTTATGTTCATTTGCTAGTAAGAATCACAGAGCATTTTGATCTTTCATTAAGTCTCCACCCAATTTGTGTTACCACAAAGGTACCCTAACTTGTATTTTGAAAAGCTTTATCCTTTCTTGACTGATGGAGCAGCCTAGCAGGGCACTAGATCCAGAGATTGTCTGTGTTCTGCAGTAGGTGTGATTGTGAGGTAGCCAACATAATCTTACCTGTCCTGTTTAGCTGTTCTCTTTGCTGCTCTTACCCTGTTTTTTGAGCTTAGTTGTTTGTTGTGAGCAACAACTGCAGAAACTATTCCACAGGGTACCTGTGTGTCTTTGAAAGAAGTCGGGTAATCCTTTCTTTGGAAAGGTGAGAAACCTCTCTTAGGGCACTGTGGTTTCTGGTGCATACTGGCCGTTTTGTCTCACACTGTGTCGTGGAGAATCGGTTTACCTGGATGTAAGTGTTCCCACCCTGATTTTATGGCGCGTGAGAGCTTGTAGAACCAGCCTACCCTTCACCCACGGCCGTAGGACTTCTGCTTCCTGTGACTGGGTGATGTTCCTGAGCCTCCTCTGTCTGCTGCCTCGGAACAGCCTTGTCGTCTTCCCTCTGCGGCCAGCTGTCACAGAGCTGTTCTCCTGCCGTCTCCTCTCTTCACACCAATCCCTCGGGAGCTCTCCCTTGGCCTGGCTGTTCCTGGGGTGTCTTTCCTTCTGC